TGCCTTGTGGCGCTACCAGTGCTGCCACCCCTGCCAGACCGGGCGGCCGGGCAGGCCTGTCAGCGAGCAAGGCGGTGGAGCGAGCAGCATTCTGCAAATTAGAGACGCACTCTCTCGTTTTGCAGTCAATTACGGAAAGCTCACGAAAACCAATTTCACTTGTTGTTTTTTTTTTCAGCTAGCTTCCTTGGTGTTTAGCAACACAGCAGCCAAGACAAATAAAAAATCAATGCCCGAGACTGCGTGGTGTCAGGTCAGAGAGGTTGATCACCTTAACTGAATAGTTTTGTTCACACACTTTTAAGCATGCGTGCTTTGTTTACAAATTTGAACAAAATTTGTCACGAACTTGAGCGACTTCGTGTACCAATTTGCACGAAAATTTTCACTATCTCTAAAATTGTGCTATGGACAATTTGTACAAATACATTTTCTGTGCATATTCATTTTTTTTGGAAGTATCTGCGTTGGGCGCTCTGGGCGCACCGAATGTTAAATGATGGCTCTGTAGATATATTCGCCAAGTAGGGCGCTGATCACACGCCGTGCCTCGGTGGCGGCGGCCTCGGTGGCCTCGGTGGCCTCGGCCCGGCACGCCGGCACACAGGTTCGAGATAATTCGCAGATAATTTCAAGCTGAAATCAACTGCGCCAACGCGACGACCCAAACTTTGATCAAGATCTCGGATGAGGAGTGCAAGACCCATTAAGTGCGGCCCTAAGTCATACCTGATAGCGAGGCCCAACCTCACCTGCCAAGACTAGTCGCGACTTCTCGGCCGATATTTCATTGCCAAGTGTCGCTATTAACAACAACTTAGGCGGGAGATAGCAACGGCTGGCGCGCGCTGCGTGAGCGAAGCGGCTGTCTTTTCCGCGAACGGGTCAGGTGCGGATCCAGTTAGGGGGGAGGGGGAGGAGGAAAAAAGTCACACCTTAGAAGGCAACTTTCGTGAGATCTTTTCCTGAACCCGTCTCTGGATCCGCCCTTGGGTCCTGCAACGTCACAGTGGTCTAGCTAGAAGCGCCTGTCCTGGGCACGTGTTAGGGTGGTCCCCAATTGGAAAAAAAAGAAGAAAAAAAAAAAACAGCATTTAGAAGTTTCTTTTTTCATTTACCCACAAAAATCATCTTAGTTTTTTCTTCAAAAAATTTGAACAGGCCTAATTTATTGTACTCTTACTGAAGACGAAAACATTGGGGAACTAGTATTTTTTTTTTTTTTTTGGGGGGGGGGGGGGGCGAAAAGCGGGCGGACTTGAGTTACGTCCGCGCAAGTGGGTCTTCACTGAAGCGGCTGGCTGGGCTGACCGACGTGGCGATAGCGGGACGGCCGGGGATGCCGGGGACCGAAGGCTCGAAGGCCCGAAGGAAGGCCCGGGGGGACCGCCCATAAATCCAGCCACTTCATTTCAGTTGTGCTGCGAGTTTCGTCGCGGCCGTGTGTCTGTGTGTCTCAGACCCGAGGCGTCCCGGCCGCCGACCCGAGTCAACTTACGAATGTATTACCGCCTCCGCCGACCCCCTTCGCCATGCACGGCGAAGCGGAGCCAAGCGGAGCGGCCGACGCGTTTGAGCGGTCAGATAAGGGACTGTTCACGAACCACGTCGCAGAGACGGCGAGGCGAGCGGTCCGTCACCGCCACTGTGGGAGGGAAGTCCGAAAGGAGTTTCTGAAATCTAAAATCGGCAAGTTGAAACACACACACACACACACACACACACACACACACACACACACACACACACACACACACACACACACACACACCACCCCACACACACATACGAAAGTTCTTCCGGTCAACTTGGACCTGCAAAGCTCTAATTCGGCCCATTATGTATGTATGGTCTGTCTGTCTGTCTGTCTGTCTGTCTGTCCGTCCGTCCGTCCGTCCGCCTCATCCCGCGGCTGCAACTATGCCATTGATCGGCGCGCTGTGCCAGTGCACTGCCAGTGTCCTGACTGGCCCGTGATTTGTGGTCCAAACTTGCAAAGGCCCAGCAATGTGCAGTCCCATCCCGCCACCGCATAATTTGGATAAGACTGTCCAGGGCGCGCTGGAGGGGGCTCGTCCCATAGCGGCGCGTGCACGTTTGTGTGTGTGTGTGTGTGTGTGTGTGTGTGTGTGTGTGTGTGTGTGTGTGTGTGTGTGGTCGCGTGCGCGTGTGTGTGTGTGTACGTGCGCGCGGCAGATAGCTGAATATGAGAGGGTTTTCTGTTCAATGATTGGTGATGGCTTCAATCCCGAGGCAGCCACTGCAAGTAGGATTCAGTTCAGCGAGAATTGCACTGCAAAGTTGGAGCAAGTCGTGGGAGAAAGAGAATGTGGGTGAAAGCCAAAACTGTTCTATTCTCCAGCGTTGTTTGGCATTTTCTTTCAGTCTAGCGTAGACTGTTTCGGTCCCCCCCGCGGCTCGGCCCCACCAATCCACGCTCCCTTATTGGGTGCGTTTCTTGGCCTACTGACTGACTCGGTGGGTAGCGGCCCTCCCTTTGTTTCGGGAAAAGATGTTCCCTTGAGCGAAGGGCGGGGCAGCGGGCGGTTTGAGCGTGCCAGGTATACACTGGGAAATATGAGAAGGAACGGCCCGAGGGGTGGGGCGGGCCGAGGCGGGGTGGGGGTCAGCACATAAAGGGCGGACGGCCCAACAAAATAGAATAAATGGAAATTTGTAATAACTGTGTGTCACGTTTTGCTCCTGTTCCTTTCCCATTTCGTCCACTTTCCACGCTCCGCCTCTCTTTCGGCCTCGTCAGGTTCCATCCCGGCAACACGCCCCATGCGGCGCCCCGTCCAAAGCCAACACGTGTGTTGGGCGACTGTACGGACCCACCGCCGCCCAGAACGCCACCGATACGACCGCGTCCAGCGCAAGCGAACACGCGGTTGTTGCGTGACTGTACGGATCCACCGCCGCCCAGAACACGTCGCCGGCCGTTCGATTCCAGTTTGATCCGACTTTGAAATGAAATTTCCGACTTGGCACGCCTGAGGCCCGAGGCGCGGGGTCGGGGGCGGTAGCGTGGGGTAGCGGAGGGTGCTCGTAACTTCTCATGTACAACTCTGTCCACAATCTGGGCTTGCCTTCCCTTTCCGCGGCGCGGCCTTGAGCCCCGGGTTCGAATCCCCCCGCCGCGGCGGTCCGTTGCCGAAAATCGGGCGGCGTTGTATTTTTGAACAAGGCGTCGCCCTACTCGGCCTAATTGCCAGCATCACAGCGGCTGTCCGGCGCGGCAGCGGGGCGCGGCTTACAACCCTTTGGTGCCCTTGTCTTGCGCTATTCCCTTTGAAGTGGTGAATGACTTATTTCTGTCCTTGGTCCGGCTCGGCGCTGAGCGGTGCGGTCCGGCGCCGGGGGTGGGAGGGCTGGCAGGCCAGGGCCGCAGGGCCGCAGGGCCGGCTTTTAGGGGACGTCACAAGCCCTTAGAGGTGGCCGGCGAGCCGCCTTTGCCGTCGCGGCCAACACCATCACGATCAGACACGACCTCACCTTTTTCCAGCAATGTGGAACGAGTGGAAGTGCACTGTCGGGACAGTCAGTTTTTCCCGACTTGCTCTCCTCATTGAACCACATCCATTTCCCCCACGCCGCTAGCGGCATGTGTGTCCGGATTGTCCGGCAGCGGAGAAGGTGCAGGCACGTGGTGGCCGGCCCTGCTAAGCTGCATCGACCAATAGCAAGCCGATGTCCGGCTGCGGTGTTCGCCCTGTCCTCCCCGTTCCAGCCGGCAGCCCGCCGCACACAGCGAGAGAGACAGCGCCCCGCATCAAAGATTAACACGCCCACACGCGACTGTCCCCCCCCTCCACTTCTCTCCCTCTCTCTCGCGGTGTCGCGCCCAATGAGACCCGAAGTCGGCACCCTGAGGTGAGAGGCCAGAGCGGCTTCCTTGGGCAGGCAGGGCCTGGCAGCGCCCGGCAGCGCCACGCCGGCCGGCCACCCATGATTTAGAGCCAGGCTTTGGCAAGAGATTAACAAGAGGTGCGGACTGGCCGGCCGGACCCTCCCACTGGAAAGGGACGTCAGCATCCTTTTAGGCATTATTGGGCTAAGACTGCCATGTTTACGAAGCCTGACGCGCCTAACGGGTCAGCCAACCCTCTCAGCTTAATTTGAAGCGCAATTGAAACTTGATACTTTGACCTGGAAGCAGTGTTTGAGTCTGGGGGCTGGGTCACTCATTTGCAACCCCATGAATCTCTGAGGACAATTGCTGTCCCTCTGGTGGTGACGCACACCACGCACAGTTGTGACTGGCCGCTGGCACACGCTTAAAAACTTTCCAAGTTGGAGCACATGTAAGGCACAAACTTCAGTTTTTAATGCGAAGAAATAGTTCGGGAATAACTTCGTATTTTCTTTGTGAGCTTTATGTACTTTATAGATCCTTTGTCATGACAAGCTACTTGTAAATGTAAGGCCTGCGAATAGTTTGTCAGGTTTTGCGGTTGACAAAATGCGTCCTTTGCGATTGGAGGGAGGCAGTCTGGCACCTGCAGGAAGCATGGCGAGCCTGGCACGGACGATTCATCCTGGGGCCTCACCCGGCCCAACCGCACTCGGCCCAGGCCGCCCAGGCACAGGCCTAGTAATGGCCGTTATGAAAGATTTGTGCCTCAACTTGGGAGGGCCATCGCCATCACTTGCAGTGCTCTGTCGCCGTTGTCATTCGCAACCAGAGTGTTTATCATTTCTTAATTTCCCCACGCACACCCCATGCAGTGTTGCCACATGCCGGGAGAGTTCCTACATGCACCAGTGTCGATAGGTTTGCCAACCTCAGCCGGAACATCTCGAGAGCAAAGCCGGATTGCCAAACAGGCAGGCTGCTGTTGGCAACCCTTTAGGCACCTCCGCATGGTAGAGAACTTTGCCCATTGTGATGTCAACACTGACCTCATCACTCGAGGAAGTCATGACTCGGAATGTTGTGTTCGCAGTGCTCTGCCTGATTAGTTAGCTTTATCGGTGCGATACACGCCCTCGCGAACTCGACCGACCCAGCGCTCCACTCGAGTGCGTGAGATAACCATTTCATTATTGAACCTTTATAAGGACTTGCACGAGTTGCGCCACCTTGCTCAGTCTCTTGCCAGTCGACATCATGAACGCCAAGATCATCCTCGCCGCCATCGCGGCCGTCTGCTGCGTGCAGGTCAGCAAGAACGCAATCTAGAACGCCTTTTCCCGCGCATTCCGGCGTTTTCCCGCGCATTCCGGCGTTTTCCCGCGCATTTCGGTGTTTTCCCGCGCATTCCGATGTTTTCCCGCGCTTTGGAGAGGTCAACTCCTTTGTCATGTCACCAGGGCATCGCCGGCGCCTCCCTGGACGCCCGCCGCCTGCCGTCATGGAACGAGGTGGACGTGAGCGAGTTCGCTGACATGGACTTCGAGGACGCTGCGGAGCAAATCATGATGATGGTCGACCAGCTGGAGGAGGAGACCGGCATGGACCTGGACCTGGACGTCCACCCCCTGAAGCAGCAGCGCGCCGTCAAGAACGTCTTCACCTGCGCCACCAGCATCCTGAACGTGAGTAGCTCACAGTGCTGCCACACAAGCGGGCGAAAACTCCCACGCTGCACCACTGTCGAGAGGGTTGCCAACCTCAGCCCGCCTAGTTGACAACATGTCATTCTTTGCTGTGGATGAGTTGCTGAGTCAGCCTCAGGTTGGCAACCCAGTACGTTTCCGAGAGTACAGGCTGAGGTTGGCAACCCTTTCACTCTGGTGAATCGTAGGAGGGATTTTTCGACCGCTAAAGGTGGCAACGTCGGCAGCTGCCAGGCAGTTAAGGAAGTAACACGCGCCTTTCTGATGCAGCTGGGCAAGACCCTGAACCAGGTTGTGAAACTGTTTGCCGAGTTCCACAACGAGAAGGTCGCATACAAGGCGGCCAAGGCGGCCTGCACCGCCACGCCCTCCTTCCTCTACGACGACGCTCCCGCCACTCCTGCTCCCGACGCTCCCGACACTCCTGCTCCCGACGCTCCCGACACTCCTGCTCCTGCTCCCGACGCGAGCGCCTGCCTGGCCGATGCCGAGACCGCCTACAAGGCCGCCGTCAAGGCCAGCAAGGGCAAGATTCCCGGCACCGCCATCAAGACCCTCACCTCCGTGATCGCTCTCAAGAGCTGCTTCTCCCTCATCTAAATCTCTCTCTTCGAAACATCATTGTTTTGACTAGATAAGCAATTAAAATAATTATTTCAAAACATGATCTATTCATCTTGAAAGGTGGTGGCCGAAGCCCGAACCGAAACATTCCCAACACTCATCCCTCAACAACCAAAGCAGTGTTGCCACAAAAAAAAAACCACGAAGCCCCGCCATAGCGTTGCCAACTTCAGCTTGCTAACTGGGCAACTTCTCGAGACCAAAGCGGCTCAGCAGGCAAGCTGAGGTTGGCAACCCTTTTAACAGTGGTGCGTCGTGGCAAATTTTGCCTACCGGCCGAGGAATGACGACAAAATCTAAGCGGCGGGACGTTCTGTCCACGCAGGCCTACTGGGAGGTGAAGCACGGCGTGCAGGTCGTCGTGCGCCTGGTCCACTCCAAGCAGCAGCTCAAGAAGGACACCGCCGCGTGCGCCGCCGCGGCCGCCGCCGACGTGGCTAAGTGCCAGGAGGACGCCAAGGCCGCCGACGCGGCGCGCTGGGCCGCCATCAAGGCAGACCTCATCTCTTCGGGCATCGACTTGGCCCTGCTGCCCATCGCCACCTACTACAACTGCATCAACCTGCTCGCGTAGGCCGAACCAATAAAGCGTCTTAACACTGCGTTTTTCTGTGACGTTCCTCCCTGTTTCCCCCTTTGTGCAAACTCGCAGAACAACTTCATCAGCACGAAAAACTGATAAATTTTTTGCAATGGCAATTAGGGTGTGAAGGCTACCGAAATTATCGAGTGCCCTTCTAGATTGCTACCTCCGATTTGATTTGATTGTAAGTGGAGAGACTTGAATGCGCGACGGAATGTTGCCACATTAGTCGGTGAAAACTCCCACGATGCACCCGTGTCGAGAGGGTTGCCAACCTCAGCCTGCAACTTTTCGACGGCAGAGCTCACATGTGTTGCCTATAGCAGGCTGAAGTTGAACCCCGGTTCGTCATAGGAATTTTTCTCCGCTAATCTGGCAACACGTCCGAGAAGTGCGGGCTTCTGCGCAGGGCAGAACTTTGTATCTCTTCAGGTAATCGGAGTGTACTTTCCAAGGAATAATGGAGCCAATTAAAGCACAAGCGTTGAGGGTATTGTGATTTATTAAAAAATCATCTAGAAGCACTCAGAGATGATGCCCTGGACCTTGGGCCAGTCAGCGACGATCCTCTCGCCCAGCTTGGTGGTCTCGGCCATGAGGTCGTTGATCTCCTGCTGGGTGATTTTCTGCTTGCAGGCGCTGATGTCCTCAGCGGACTTGTCCTTGTCCTCGGAGCAGGCGGCCTTGGCGGTCTTGGCGGCTGAGAAGATGGTCTTGTAGCCGCTGACGATGCCGGTGATGTCCTTGACGATGGTGAAGCTCTGCAGGGAGACAGGGGTAAGGAGACGATTCTTCTTTGCTATTCGACGAATGTGACGTCATGTTTGTAAAAACGTGAATTTTGGCACGTTCGCCCGCCTGTGATCTCACATTCGTTTGAATTCAAACTAATGTGAATTAAACGGCTGTATCACGTTCCAACGAAGGTCTCATCGAATTCAAATGAACGTGACAAAGTTCACATGCGTCTCATTCAATAAACAACACTGGAGTACGGCAGTCTCGCTCCAGGTTGCTTTTCACTTACGTTGGTCAAGTCCTTGATGCACTTGATGTAGCCACCGAGCTGGTGGGCACCCAGCTCCTCCTTCTGGGGGGCCGCAGACACGAAGGCCTACAAGCAAAGTGACGGTTTACTCTCCCTTGCGCTTACGGTTCCTCATTTTACCCCTCTTTCTCCTCACTCAGTGTCATTCTCGGGGTCTGCTTGAAGCTTACCTGGGCGCAGAGCAGAGCCGCGAGGGCGACGACGACAACCTTGCTGACCATGGTGGCTGATTGCTGTGAGATACTCGAGCAACTGACGCATCACGGGGTCCTCGACCAATTTATAGGCCCGCCGACGCGAGCGCGGTTGCCTTCCGATCCCGATAAGCATCTGAAAACACTTCAACTCATTTGCATGCATGCAATGACAGCGATTGCGACCTTTAAAAAAAAGGCTCTCCACCAGAAAATGCGAAGACTCTGACCGGTGCACTTCGGCCTTGATGCGAAGTAGTGGCGTCCGCTCTGTGCTCCACGTCGTATCGGGTACTCTCTCTGCCTGAAGACCAGAGAGAGAGAGAGAGAGAGAGAGAGAGATGAACGGGTGGCTGACGGAAGGAAAGAGGGAGACAAAATAAAAGAAGTTTGGTTTACAGCCTCGGACAACAATAAGCGATGCCTGGTCATGGCGCCTGGACAGAGAGAGAGAGAGAGAGAGAGAGAGAGAGAGAGAGAGAGAGAGAGAGAGAGAGAGAGAGAGAGAGAGAGAGAGAGAGAGAGAGGGAGAGGGAGAGAGGGAGAGAGAGAGCGCGTGGACCGGGCGGGGCGCAGGACCACGCAGGACGGAAGATGTCATTATTACCCGGGAATAAATCTTTGGAGGACGTTGCGGCCCTCTAATGTTACACACACAGTGTCCCTTTCACACACACACACACACACACACACACACACACACACACACACACACACACACAGAGAGAGAGTGAGCCTTTCTGGCCGCGCGGTGTGTCTCGCTCGCATCCCTTGCTTCCCCACGCGGCGCCGGCGCGGCAATAATTAGAACTGTTATAATAACAATAATTAATTGTTATGGTTTTCTATAACAATCGGTGTTGGTGCGGTCTGTCTCGCTCGCTCTCCCTCTCGCCCAGTGTCGCCAGAGTTAAATGGAATGCGCGTAAGCCCACGGCCCTCTCTGGGCGGGCCTTGGCCCTGCCGTGGCGGTGCCGTGCCGTGGCGGTGCGGATCTATAAATTTGACGCGCTTACCTTTAGGCTCCTTTATATCACGAATACGGGACTGTAAACTTGGAGCCAACTCCCCCTCTTTTGGCGTTCGCTAACGACCGGGCGACCGGACGGCCGAAGCAAGGGCCGAACCGCCTCGCGCTCGGCGGCGGGCTTGACGCGTTCGTCGCGAAGTCCATGGCTCCTGTTTTTACTTGGCACCGACCATAGAAGACTGAAGAAGGGAATGAAACGGGAGATAAAGGAGGAAACTTTGCACTTGTTTTCTGCGGCTCCATTTGGGTTGGAAAGGAGAGCTAATGCTCGATAACAAATGCCGCCTTGTCACACTCTTTATAGACAGCTGGCGTTGATGTGTGTGTGTGGGGGGGGGGGGGAGGAGGAGGAAGACGTTCGTGAGTGCCCAGTAATGTGCACGAGGTCGACGCAAGGCCGTGGCTCCAGTTTGTGTGGAATTGTAGGCATAGTTGAGGAGTGAGTTGAGTTTATAATGTCGATAAATCACGCTCCGCTCTGCATATGCCGTGAGGCCGTGAGGCCGTGAGCTACGGCGCGGTGTTATAGTTCATATTGGGGACGGCGCGCCTTGGCTGCGCCTTGGCTGCGGCTGCAATGGTTTGTCACTATTAATTATGATGACGCGGTGCGCTTCGCCGTGCCGCCCCTTGGCGCCAAAGTTTGCAGGTGGCCGCCCGGGTGAAACGCCAGGGGTGGAACACGCGGGTCCATGTCGCAGTGGCCACGTGGTTAGCGACGTCGACTTCCAGCCGCTGATCTGCAGGTTCGAGTCCAGCCGAGTCCAATTTTTTTTGTCGTTCATTCGGAAGGCTGTGGCTCCACCGAGAGGGCCTCGATCGACCCGATCCGAATGGGCGCGCGAATATCCTGCGAGTAATTAAGGCAGCGCCTTCCATAAAAGTGAAGAGGCTGATCAAAGCGGTGGGCTTTCGCAGGAAATGACGCGGATTAGGGCGTGCGAGGCGCGCGGCGCGGCGCCCTCTCTGCATATGAAGGCATTCGTAATGAGAGGAACCGGGCGCGATACTGCGCGCGCTGCGCACCGTCGGGGTGGGGGGCGTCTGGGACGTGTGCAGTCCAGGATCACGGCGGTGTGTCGGATCCCGTTAATCGCTTCAAAGGGAATGGGTTTAGAAGCGCCCCGGGCCGCGCCGAGTGCCAAACAGGGCGCAGGCGCAGGCAGTGTGGCAGTGTGGTGGTGGGGTCGTCAGCAACCCGACGGGCTGACGGCACTGCCACCCTGGGCGACGGGTCTGCCTGACGGCCTCGCGGCCCCGTCGGGGTAGACAACCCCTACCCTTACTCAGATAATTCAAGGGGAAATAACTCCAGCCATATTTGTACACCAAAATTCATCAAACTTGTAAAATTCACTAAACTTCATTGAAATTCATATAATCTTATTCTTCTCAAAATTCAGTAGTTTGTGCCTGAAATTCATCAAAATTCAACTGAAATCCACTGGCTTTGTACACTGAAATTCACGCAGTAATTTCCCCTTGATTTACTACTGCAAATGAATTTTCATGGAAAATTCAAGTTAATTATCTCAGTTCAAGGAACGACTTTTTAAGGGTGTTACACACGATGCGCGACCCTCACGCGTCATCGGCTTCCTTGCGGGCTGCGTGAAGGCTCTTGCGTTCCTCCCGGGCGGCGCGGCCTCGGGCACGGCGTCTGTGACAACTCCGGCCGATATCGCTTCCATCCGTTGCCAAGGCCTTGGCCAAGACCGAACACACGGGGGATTTGGGCCTGACTGGCCTCGGCCCGCCTCGGCCTCACATGTCGGGCCTCATGAAATAGCCCTCAGAATGAAGACTGAAGCGGCCGCCCCACCCTCCCTCTTGCTTGATCCCCGTCTCGACCGCAGCCCCGGCCCCGGCCACACCAATCCCCAGGTCCTCATTCGGTTGTTCCCGGACACCTCGATCTATTTGAACGGCTGGGTATAGGCCAGTAAAGTTTGGTAAAGGACGCCTTCGGTTTAGAGATTGGACAAGGAAAAAGAAAGTTACTTAAGTTGCGGATATGTGGGGGGTGGACTTGCTGGACGGGGTGGACGGGGTGGACCCGGTCGGGGTTGATTGTCGCGTTGATGGCTAGCCGAGGCCGAGGCGAGGCCGTCCCCAGCCCTGCGGACCGAGTCAGACTCGGACTGCCAGACTGCGTGGCGCCAGACACTCCGTCTCGTGTGTCGCTCCCACGAAAACAGTTTCAAATCTCAGTGAAAACAATAATTATTAAAGCAACACAAGAAAGTGGTGAAGTATTGCGGTTTGTTTTGTTAAAATTACAGGTTGCAATAGAGAATTTTTTTTTTTTTAGAAAAAATTTGCATTATTTCTAATGTGAAAAGTATAACGGAGTTTCTTTTGTTCAAAACCGCGCGTTTTTGTTTGTTTGGTAAAGTCCGCTTCGTTAACAACAAAAAGTCCTGTTGGTCAAACAGTCCGGCTCCCCCCACCCAAGTTCCGCCCTCCGCTCCGCCTCGGCGACGGCCTCTGCGTCCAGGACCGCCAAGACCGGCAGGACACCTCCCCCGACGAATCTCTTTACCTGGCCCAATCGCCATCAACTACGCCCCGGCCCTCCCACACGTATGCCGCATCAGAGAGAGAGAGAGAGAGAGAGAGAGAGAGAGAGAGAGAGAGAGAGAGAGAGAGAGAGAGAGAGAGAGAGAGAGAGAGAGAGAGTGGAGGCGGCCCCCCAATCGTGTCCCCAAACTATCGCCATTCCGTGACTCTAATTCTGGCCCCTCAATGTGGCCCAGGGACTTGGCCGGCCACCTCGGCGGCCACCTCGGCGGCCTCTGGGGGGCGACCGCCATGGACCGCCACGCCGCCGCCGCCGCGACCGGGGTGGACAATGAGGACGAAGGAGACAAAAAGGAACGAGAAACATATTGGTTTGCATCGATGTCACATAAGTTTGAGGGTGGGCGTGGGTGCCAGGCCGCGGCCCCGCCGTGTCGCTCCCCGGAGAACCATTGCTCCTGCTGAGGTGGACAGCCCTCTGATTCCTTCTCATTGGCTGACCGCGCGGCCGGAGCGTCCCCCCACCCTCGCGCTGGCCAGGCTGCGCCCCCGGCGGGGCCCCTCGGACTTGCCCGCAGCGCCCCATCCCCCTTTATCCAACGCCACCAAAGTGGGGCCTCCGCCCGCCCGTCCGTCTCCAAGGTAAACGGTCACTTTCGAATGTTTCAACATACGACGTTTCTTTCATTAGACAACGAACAAACAATGAAATGACAACACAAATCGCTGATCGTTGGGCGTAGGGGTGTAAATCCCCCGGGAATTCCTTGGAGGATACGACTTATAGTCTCTTCGTCTTTGGATCGGATAAGGATTGTGACATTTTGAAAAACACAAAAAAGTACTCTCCCGGCGTTTCAGCAAACCGACAGCCAAGCGTATAACAAGAGCACTGGAGACGGGTTATACATTGTGGAACACCAAAACGCCCCCTCGAATCGTGTACGCGTGGCTCCCTTTTGGGTTGAACGGGCTCGAATGCCAGAGTTTTTGTTTCGTGTTTCGCGTTTCTTTTCCCGCCCCGCCGCGGCCAGACGCCGTGACAGCGTTGTCGTGATAAAACGGCGCGACACTGTTCGCGGTTTTAGACAAACTGGATCCTCTGCTTTGCACGCCGGGCGCAAACAGGCAGCTGGACGCGACGCGGGGCGGGGCGGTCGGATTCCAGCGTGGGGTGCCTTGCCGTGCCGTGCCCCGGCCGCCGCTGCCTGGCCCGTTTTAAGTACAAGGGATATAAATCTTTTCAATTTCCAGGACCTGGACCGCCGCAGGGCGGCACCCCGCCATGCCCAGGCCGTGCCCAGGCCGTGGCCGCCGAGGGCGACTGTCGTTTTGCGGCTGTCCGGCAACATGCAAACGCGACCTGAGATAATCTCTCTCTCTCTCTCTCTCTCTTCTCTCTCTCTCTGCTCTCGCTCTCTCGCTCTCTCTCACTCGCGTGCGTGACTTGAGCTGCAAAAAGGGCGCGACGCTCGCGGAAGGGTTTTCGTCCTACCCTCGGCCGAGAGGACTACTATCCGGACTGTGAAGCACACTCTCAGAAACAAAAAAAAATGTTTATTCAAGGTTTTGATTGAAATTTTCAGT